GTTAACAGTTTGACAGAAGAGGCTGATGTCTGAATCATTGTGCTGAGCCATGAAGATTCTCTTTCAACGTGGGCTGGTCTCACTCTCCTGACAAGTTTGTACAAAGCTGGAAGCAAGCAGAAAAGTGAACTGTTGTCCCTCTCATCACCAGCCGCAGCATCTCTCCTTTCCTAAGCCATCAGGACTCCGAGTTCACTGGCCTTTGGACTGCACCATGCTGCTAGCTTCCGTGAGCTTCCCGTGTGCAGATGGCCTATCACAGGACTTCTCAGTCTCCACGGGCATGCAAACCATTTCTCTTAACAAATTTCCTCCTGTTATTCTATCATTCGTTTATATACTGTTGCTTCTGTCTGAACAACCCAGAGTTCTGTGTTCAGCATTTCTAAGAAGTCATTAGAAGTCATACTGAAGTGAAGATGCCCTGATTTCATGTCCCTCCCATGTTCTTTGCATCCAATTCAACATGATGCTTGTTTCATAGAACACCCTTAGAAAATATTTTAAATTAAAGTCTAATAAGACCGATGAGGGTTTTATGATACATTTACAAAGGTTTTTAAGAAAGACTGACCAGAAGTAATTTACTATAGTGGAATAGGTGGAACTGGATCAGTGTCACTTACATTATGAGAAATATTCAATATTCATTAGCCCAGAGCCTTTCACTCCTCACATGAATGTGAGTATACATCATACCTATGTTATCCCTCATGTAGGTGGTAAAGCCGATGCTAAAAAGGAGATCCACATAGGGTGACCAGTGGACCATTGGTCTATCCATTTTATGTCATCGGTGATAATGCTATCGAGCAGGGTCACTAGATTATCTCCAACATGGAGAGAGAAATCACATTTCTCTTGCCTTTACAACTGAACACCATCCTTAGTCTTTTCATTTCTTTGTCCTCTTTAATGATCAGGGTGAAATATGACAAAGGTTCTGTCCTATGTGTTAGCACAACAGTGAACAACTGCAACCACAAGCAATTCTTGAACTCAATTTTACTTTCAAATGGAACAGAAAGAACCCTAAAACACAATCTTACCAATGATATCATGGATTTAAAAGATAGAAGAAACCCTAAACATTAGTAGAGATAATTACAGCCACTCAAAAAAAGGTACAGATTTAACCACAGGTTCTTTATTTTCATTTTGAAAGTAAAAATCATGCATGTTCAGTGTTGTAAAATAACTGAGAAGATAAGGGTAAAGAAAAATTTTCACATTGTGTTTTTGTCCAGAGATTTTTCAGAAGTACATCTCTTTTAATTTTCTTCTTAATTGTGGGAGCAAAGAGATAGTGACTTTAAAGTCTGTGGTTCTAAGTTTGCTAAGAAGTTTCTCTGAGTTTCCTATATTATGTAATAAAGAAAGAAAATGCCTTTCTTTAGGAAAGAAATTGAATAGGGAAATTCAATAAGCTCATTGTTAATTCAGTTATATCTGAAGTGACATCCATATTTCTTCCATGATTAAAAAATTAAGTACCAGGCCTCTTGAGATATCAAAAGAGCCTGTGGATACCACAAAAGAGAATTGAGTTTAAAGATGCAATTAAGGTTGCTAATTAGCTGACCTTGAGATGGGGAATTATCCTGAGTTGCATAGGTAGAGTTAAAATAGTCACATGGATGGTTAAAAATGACTCTTTCCAGCTGTGATGAAAGAGAGAAGTTCAGGGGCCAAGCATGTGGCTTCGCAGCACAGGGCCCGCCTGACAAGTGCAAGTCTTGAGTTCAGTTTCTGGGAGAGAGAGAGAGAGAGAAAGAGGTAGAGAGAGAAAGAGAGAGAGAGAGAGAGAGAGAGAGAGAGAGAGAGAGAGAGAGATTAACAATAGACAAATAACTAAATACTGCTTCCTAAATTGATAAATTCTGACCCATTGTTTGTGATGCATCTAACATGTATAATATACATTATTTGCCTCATCAGAATGATGTGATGCTGATAACTGATGGAGGAAAGAAGCCATCCTCAGGGGTTGGTTGTGGTCTCCAGAAGCTGGAGAAAGCAAGGGAATGGATTTTCCCATTGAGAATCACAAGGAATAGATTTAAAGACATCAGACCAGGTAGACCAACAGAATTGTCAGACAGTAAGTTTATACTACCATTATCCAAAAATCTGTACAAAAAATAAATGAACAATGATTTATGACTTTCCAAAATTAGCTAAAATTTATCGCATGAACATGTGTATCTATGATGACATAATATTTTAATTTTTGACTGGATAAAGAAAAGCTTGAAAGTAAAAATTTGGCAGCATACACCTTATCTCTGCATAAAAGAATACACATGAGAAAGACCTATTAATTTTAAAAGAGATAGCAATGTTGAAAAAGTTATTTTTCAGATACCTACATCAAGCCAAGTCATGGAAAAGAATATTTACATATTTCAATGACTAATAAACACCCCGCATTGTCAGCTTTCCCCAGTCAAGTAAAGGGATTTATATTTGAGTATATTTAAAAAGTCTTCAAGGTCCAACTGTTTTGACTTATTTTAAGTAAATGTAATTTTTTAAATTAATTTTATTGAGAAACAAATAGCAATGAGACAGTTTTAATACTAAATGTAATTTTAAGTGAGATTCAAATTCTGATTTTCTGTGTTTTTTTCTTAGAGAGAACTAAATTGATAAATTCTGACCCATTGTTTGTGATGCATCTAGCATGAATAACATATATTATCTGTCTCTTCCAGTTCTCCCCATATGCCGCCTCCCTCTTGCTGTCCCATTCTTTCCCCTTTCTCTAATTTTTCTTCCCTTTGTATATTCCCAAACAGTGTTCCAACCTTTTACCTTTTGCATTCACATACTCTTATTTTATCCAATATTGAAAATATTAAGTCTATACAGGTGATTTCACTTAGATATTTTCAATATTATGTTTTCTTTTCTTATTTTTTTTTCAGAACTGGGGATTGAACTCAGGCCCCTGTGCTTGCCAGGCAAGTGCTTCTTCTACTGAGCTATCTCCCCAGCCCCTAGTGCATGATCTTGAAACTACATGAATTTCGTTTTAAATTAATCCCAATGTTCATTCCTTTCTAATATTTGCAATATTTCCTTTCCAATGTTTTTTTTTCTTTCTTTCCAATGCATTTCATTGCTATTTTGACTCAATACAAACTTCGAACATCACATGCCTCAGTTTTTTCAAATGCTTTCAAACTTTTAAATTTTATTTTATGCTGTTGCAATTCCAGCCTGGGTGGAATTCTTCTCACTCATTTGTTTGTTTTCTCTTGGTTCTTGTGGCTGCTTTGAGTATCCTGTGCAGATGCCTCCAGCATTGCTTTCTGGGAGCATTGGCTGATGGGTGACTCACATTTCCCGCTTCCCTGGAAATGCCTTTCCCTCAGTCAGGCACTACCTCAGTGTCTTGCGCCAACTTCTGCAAGCAACTGATTAACAGGGGCAAGGACTAGGGTCCTTGGCCTCGAGACAGAAGTAACCATATTATAGCTACCTTCTATGGAGTCAGAACGCTATCACCCACTTCCTTTGCCCTACCCCACTTCCCTCAGTCTCCTGATGGTACACTTTTCCAATGAAGCATTTGTGCAAGAATCCTCAGGCCAGGCTTTCCTGTGACGGTTTTTTACAGTACCAGACTTAGATACCTGTTATTCTTCTATTTTTTTTCTGTGACGCAGATTGCCTGAGCCCTCCAAGCTGAGTTTCCCAGACTCCAGCATCACCTGAACTTAGACTGGGTTTGGCGTGGCAGTTTAAGGGTGGAAGGAGCATCTCCTCTTTCTGTCTTTGTGAGATGCTTCCTGAAACATCAGTGTCTGGGTGGAGTTGAAGCTCCTGTAAATTCACATCTCTCAAAGTTTGCTCCCATGAGTCATACTGTTTGTTGTGGGGCAGCTGCTGTGCTTGTCACTACTTGCTGACATTTTTATTTTTCACAGAAGTTTCACAGAATTTCTAGAACTAACTGGTAAGAATGTACTAAGTCTGAAAGACCTTTTCTTTGCTGAGAATCCTAGCTGCTAGGCTCACTAACTATATCCTTTTACCTCAAGTCTAATGGCTTCCTGCCATTGTTTTTTCCTTTTCTTTAATGTATCAGTTATTTAATTAGGTTCTTCATAGGAAATTTAAAACACTAATTTATGAGGATAAGTTTCATTTGTCAGAGCAAAAACTGATCACAGGTATCTGTTCCTTAGCTTCAATGAGCTAAGGAACAGCTTTGAGTTTTGCTAAAATCTGAGTCTACCACTTTCTGATCCACCTTGCAATGCTCTGAAATCTGGTATCTCTCTTTCTTGGTGTCAAAGATCTCACTCTCCTGGTGGCTGGGTTTCAACAGCTTATTCTTCTTGAAGTAAGCATCAGTGAGGTGATTGGGGATTAACACTTTGCTGATATCAATTTTTGTAGAGGTGGCAAATGACAAATTTCTGGTGTATTCTTCATAGAGAAACACAATTAAGGATAAGAGGCCCAGCCATAAGTAGCAAGCCACTGGCCAACTGCTTCTGGAAGACCACTCTCTTGCCTCTGTGATGCTCAGTGAGGATGATCAAGATGGTGCTGGGAGTGATGCTAGCTCTAAGTTTCCTCCCGTGCTGACTGAAGGGTTTCTTGCCGTGGCCCAAGAGCTTTTGGGATACATCTTCAGTAGGGAGCCCTGCTGTTGTTAATCATCATGCTGCTTTCTAGCCCAAATGTTCTTTATAATTTTTTCCATCACCCATGTATCCAAACCCCCTTCTATCAGAAATATCTAAAGTCTCCTTGCCACTAACTTTTAAAACACAAGTGATAGGTTATAGCCCTAGTATGAATTGCTGAATAATTATTGTGGTCATCCAACATGGCTGAAGCCTTTAAAACAATAGTTTATCTTCCTAGAGACCATCTGCTCCTTCTTCTCCAACTCAGCCCAGTGTGTAATTTTCTTTCAACTTTCCAGCCACCTCAGGGAAGGCCCCCAGCAGACCTACTCCTCAAGCCCCACCCTTGGCAAAAGGCCATAAAATCCTCAGCATCCCTTTGTTCCAATCCAGAGAATTCCTTATCTTCCCAAAGTCTCTCCATGTCGTCCAAGATAATGAAGCTCCTTTCCCTTTATGATAAAGCCTGTTTCCCTTTTACCTTCTGCCTGTTTCTCCCTGTAACATTGTCTAAAACCTATCAACAAGTACATCTGGATGGAACAGAATCATGAAGCAGTCTTCCTCATAGATTTTCCCATTGTTCTTTTTGCCATTCAGTCATTAAAATTTCACTCCCCAAATGCTTCATTTTCACAAAATTTCCATTTTTCTCGTCATAAAACTCCTTCTATTAACACTTCAAAAAATACATAAAACAGGAAGTGAAAATAAACGTGTTGATCTAACAAATCAAACTCTTAGAAGGTGAGGGAATATCTAAAAGTACAGAGACTAAGTTTGACACTCCATTTCATCTTAGGGATGATGAACTGCAGAAGTGTTGTCAAGGTCGGGACAAAGCTGGTTTTGACATCAGATGTGGAAGGACCTCAAAGGAAGCTTTTCTATTTCACATATGTCCTCAGAGCATATGTTGCATTTGGGACATTGAAAAGAGGGTCCTCTGATCACCCATTAGGTCACTGCTCTCTGCATTTATTCCCTTCCCTCAGAAGAAGAAGTGTAATCGCAGTGGACATCAAAGCTCTCCAGGAGCATCGCAAAAAGTCATTGAACCTTATGATGACCACAAAGGAAATAGACTGAAAGCATCAATGTCTTCAAGCATCTCATGCTGTGAAAAAAAATCTTTTTAGGAAACATGTGAAAAAATGTAAGGCATTTAAACATTTTTTTAAATATTATACTTAATTTTCCATAGAAAACAAATAAGAACAATAGCAAGCACAAAGTTTTGCCTTGTCAGGCAAGATAACTGGAACAAAAAATCTATTTTATCTACTAGAAAATAGGGTGTTTGAAAGCACTATTATGTTTGAAATTGAATTGTTTTCTTCACCTTCATGCTTTTTCAGTATGACTTGATAATTCACTTACACTAACAGAGCCACATGGTCACCAATTCCATTGAACACAGATGACAAGCATTTTCTTGAAGCAATTTTTTATATTTGAATGATACTACTTACATGCTGATTTTTTCTTTCTTAGTGCAATTTTATATTTCCAATGCTTAAAACTTGAGCATTTCAAAATGCAATCTTCCAAGGCATGAAAGTTTCTTGTTTCCTTTTTCTTTTCCTTTGGCAAGACCACACATTCATTAAAACTTCTCTTCTAACACTACCTGGATGTACCATCCATGCCTCTGTCTCTAAACACTAATGACACTAACTGAAGTTTTAAGCATTGATGTAGCCATTGATTTTATAAAGATCTGAAGTCACTGGAGGGAGTTGGACAGAAATGTGAAGGCTATGGTGCAGTAGCATGAGCTTTGGGCATAGAAACTAGAGATCAGAATGAAATCTAAAATCCAACATAGCAAAATAGTGTGGGCAGTGTATCAGTTAGTATTCGCTAGAAGAATAAATGTTGAATAATTATGTGTAAAGGATTTACTAGCTAGGCTTCCAATGGCTGCCTGCAGAAGAATGGCTGCCTAGGCTGCTATGTTGTCTGCATTAAAAGCTAGAGGCAGATCCAGCCCAAGCCCAGGCCCGACGAGTGTGTGGGAGAGCTTCCGTGCTCCCCTGTGCCTGCTGGACCTCTCATTACCAAGCCCAGGCCGACCACATGAGTGAGATCTTCTGCCATGCTCTCAGGACCCCTCCACCCCTCCAGAGCCAGCCCAAACCTGGCACATGAGTGAGAACTTCCACTGTGCTCTCGGGACCCCTCCAGACACAGCCCAAGCCTGGCATATAAGCCTGGGGTGAAACTCTGGAGCTGAAGTCCCTGCAGAGAGACTAGGGGCCATAACAACCCAACTAATCCAGGAGTAGACCATCTTGCCAGAGGGGCATAACAGGTTCACTTCCAAGGGCTGCAGCAGGAAAAAGCCAAGCACAGCAGCCAGACCCAAGCCAGGCACAACTGGATGAACTCAAACTTCACAGATCTACACCCAAATTTCAGTAGGTGCTAAGGTTATAACTGCTCCAAAGCTCTACACAAAAGGTCAAAGGACAGTGCTATACAAAATGACAAAAAGAAGGAGCAAAATGCAATCTCAGGCCCCAAACACTTCCAGAACAAGTGCAGAGGACACTACCACAAAAATAATTGGGAATCACACAGCTGAAACATCTGAATGAATAGTGCCTGAAGTAAGGAAACCACTACAGAAAGGTATAGGGGAACTCAGGTAAGAAATAACCTCTGAAATAAAAAAAGAAATCCCTGAATTAATAGCATCTGAAGTAAAGAATCAAATGCAGAAACATATAGAGGCAATCAGATCAGAAATAATCTCTATAGTAAAAGAATTAATAACTGCTTCTCAAGAAGACACTGATTAAAAAAAATAGAGATTAGAAAAATGACAGATTCCTTGAATGAGCAATACAGGAAAGAAATAGATCGCATGAAGCAGAGTCAAAGAGATATAGAGGAAATTAAAATCTCAATCACAAGCTGCAAAACCATTTGAGTGAAAGCAAAGACAGAGCTTCAGATCTTGAAGATGCTGGTGCAGCTAGTGAAAAGGTAAGACAAGATCTCTTAAAAACAACTAGGACGCAGGAAAAAAATAATTCAAACACCTGCATGCTGATGCAAAGATGAACAATGTGCAACTCATAGGCATCAATGAGAAATAACAAGTCAATGCAAATGATATAAGGAGAATATGGGGAGAAGTAATAGCAGAAAGCTCCCCAAATATGTGGAAACAAGTGGACGTTCAGTTAACCAAAGCATACAGAATTCAAAAGAACATTAGCACAATTAAAAACACACTAAGACATCTAATAGTCAAGATCCCAGAAATCCAGCACAAGAACAATATACTGAAAGCTACTAGAGAAAAGAAACAGATCACATTTAAAGGAAAGCCCATCAAAATAATGGTGGACTTCTCTTCGTAAACCATGAAGGCAAGAAAAGCATGCAGCAGAATACTTCAAGTCCTCTATGAAAAATTCCAGCCCAGACTACTATACCCTGCAAAACTCTCTTTCAAGTTTGATGGAGAAGTGAAATACTTCCATGGCAAAGAACAACTACATAATTTCATGATGACAAAGCCAACCCTACACAGACCACTAAAAGATGCTCTAGAGAGGGACCAAAATGATCACAATGAGAACAGAAAGAACGCACTAAATAGGGCAAATAATTAAACAGGAGAAAAAGGAGTAAACAATAGTAGGTAAATAACATGTCGACTGTAATTCAGTACATCTAATGATAACCATCAATGTAAATGGACTCAATTCACCAATTAAAAGAAACAGATTGGCACAGTGGATTAGGAAACAAAATCCAACAATATGCTGTATACAAAAAAAAAAAAAAAACTAGAGGCATGGAAAGGAATGTGCAAGGGCAATTGTGAAGAGCAGGGCTCCTCTGAAGATGGAAAAAATAGAGACTTGCTTCTTTTCCTCCTCTCACTCCATCCAGACCACCAGCACCAATGCTGTCCACATCTGGGGTGGGAATTCTCTTCAAGTTTGTGGTTGGAATATCCATCATCCACAAACACATCTGGAGCTTTGTTCCTCTGTTAGGCAATTCTTACTCAAGCCAAATCGACATATCATAAGTAATAATCAATTCTAGCCCAAGGAAAATAAATAAAAGCACCTGCAAATGTCAAAGATCCATGCATAGGCAACTTATTATGAGGATGTGGCAGTACTTTTCGAAGACATCTGCAAGATGCAGTTCTGTTGAAATACCCAAAGGGCAGCGATAGCTATCCCCTGGCCCCTATCCAGACTAGTCAAAAAAATGTTTTTAATTTCACATCTTATTTCATCACATAGGTCAACATATGGCTATATACTTTTTCATAAACTTTAAAATTGCTTGATTCCTAAAATCCGTGTATCCTTGAAAAGAGAAATTTATTGTTACCTGACTCAGAAATGACAGGAGGGATGACATGGGTCTTGTCCTCTTAATTATAAATGACATGATGCCTGTTGAGCCTTGCCTTCTCTATTCCTTTTCAGTCTCTGCCTCATTTTTCTTTCTCCTTCCCCAGCCCAGCTATACTGAAATTCATGCTCTCAAATTTCTGAAGCCTCCAATGTCTCTGAACCTTTAACTTTTCTTCATCTGGAACTCTCTTTCTACTTGTGCACTTCGTGGGACCCAAACTTTACAACCCACTTGGGATATTTCTTGCCCTGGGAAGCTATGCTTTGGATATTGGGTCAGATGGCACTTTTGGGAGCCAAAGAGCATGTTCTACCTTTAATTTCATAAGACCTATCAATGTAATTGTCAGATGAGTGCCCCCTTTCTTTCTCCAATGGAATTTGGGCACTGAAGGCAAAATTTACTTCTCTTAAGGATATCCTGGGTTTTCAGCTCAGCACAGTTCTTGACACTAAGCAGATACTTCATACCTATTTGTAAAATGTAAAACTGAGTGGAGACCAGAATGACTAATTACATCAATGTGTCTTTTTATGTGATTGTTAGAATTCAGTGCTTCTGTAACAAAAGCCTGCAGAGACTCCCTACTGGCTACGTGGCTCGGAGGTGCCATCACCTCTCTGAGTGGTATTAAGTGAGGTAACTCATGTTGCTTTTACTGCAGCTCACTTCTCACTTTTTAAAATTACATTCAAATAGAAAGGTAGCCATAGCTGAAGCCACGAGGTTCATAACTTAAAGAGGGTAAAGAAATTGAATGGGTGCAAGAAGTATTTTTATGCCATATACTGCACAGGTCCTTGTCTTAGTCCAGAAAGTTTACATTTGTAATCCGTGGATAAGTTATTGGAATCCTGTCAAGTTAATTCCATCCGCCACACCTGGTGCAACCCATGGTAAGAATAAAAACACTAAAGCATGTTAGTAGTTATGGAGAGACAAGTGGTCCTAAATCTGGCCATGATGATGACAGACAGAAACAAATGCCTTGACCCAGAGTTGAACTCGGGTTTTATTAATTCCTGAAGGGAGTAGCTTGAGGATGGGTGACTGTGAGAGTGACAGGAAGTGGGTGAGTGCTGTGAGCTGGGCTAGCTAGGAGGACTGCATGCACCTCTGCTGTGTGCAGAAAGAGAGATCTGCAGACAGTGAAGTCCTAGCCAGCTGTGTATGTAGCAATGCATGGAAATAGGGTCAGGCTCAACCAAAGTGGATATAATTGTTCTTCTTTCAAAGAGAGTCAGGGGGCCTGGGAGATAGGTCAGTAGAATAAGCACT